AGTATTGCTCATTGCGAGGCTGTGACGTATCCTTAATATGGACACCTCCGCTCCCCTCAAAAGTCGTCCATAATGTGAGTTGTCCGTTAGACGAGACAAAAAGGCATGCATTTGCCCTGGTTTTCCCCGAATATGGTCTCCGTATAGCGGGATATTCATATTCACGGCGTCCATATTAACGATATATATATATATATATATATATATATATATATATATATATATATCTCGGTAATATGGATATCCCACTGTACGGGGACCATATTCGGCATATATATATATATATTACGGTGGGCGACAGCGGATAATTGGCGCACATTAATTCGCTAAGCTTTTAAATAATAATTTGACCGCAAACCGTCTAATAGAAGAGATGTAGAGCGTGCTGAGAAATATCCCTTTGTGTTGCTTTCAGTTTTCATTAAGGTAGGCTTTGTGCGTCTAATAGTTCACAATTAGAAAAAAAAACGACAATCTTTTGCGAAAAAAAAAAATGACATGACTAAGGGTACTGGTGTTTTAATTTGCTAGCCAACAATCACTTGAGTTTTGTTTTGTTTTTTTATGTTGTCGAGATTTTTGTGTTTGAGTGACATTGAGTGCATCGCATTTACTGCTGATTCCGGTGCGACTGTGCGCTATCAGATGCGCACGTTCTCCCAGCGAGGAGCATCGCTCCACGGCGAGCTGTAGTGTCGTGGCGCCATCTCGAGGTAGCCGAGCAAAGTCCATTTCGATGCGCTCCTCAAGGGGCGCTGTCGGTACATTTGCGCAAGCCGGCATGTCGCTTGAACTGCGTTGTTCAAATGAGATTTGAGCTTGTAAATTACCGAAAATTCCCGTCCTCTTACCCAGGATACTGTTTTTAACGCAGCAGTCGATGATTCCATTGTTTTCTTTGTGTACCGCCAGTCAAACTGCAACCCCTCTAGGGTTCCTCGTTGCTCTGTGTATAGATGTGCTTAAACCGAACGGAAAGTGCGTAGATTTTTTATCAAGTATCATGCCTGACGCCGCCATTAATGTTCCTAGCCTGCAGGTGTCGGTCTATGAGACACCTCGTGCCGTTTTGTGCTCTGCACGCGCAGGGTTGCTGCGAGGTTGTCGCAAGGGCAAAAATACCATATGTTTCTCAGTGCATTGCGGCAGCGGTGGCGTAGCCAGACTAGAGTGCCTCGATGTATTTCTGTTTAGGGCACGGTGGTTTAGGGTGATGCCATCGTTTGTAGTACCCGATACCGACAGCACGCGGTCACATGGAAAATACAAAGAAATCGGAGGAAACAAAAAGTCGCCGTAGCTCAGTCAGCGCCACGAGCGCGTGCAGGGACACGCTGTTTCACGCGCTTCAGAACAACAAATAAAAATAAGCGTTCGAAACAAAATGGCCAGATGTCATCACCCCAAGCAAAGCGCACATGAAGGTACCCTAAGCCATACTGGCTGATGAGAGCGGTATATTGGTTCCACAGACGTGTAAGTGGGGAGTTACTGTATTTATTACGTTGTTCTAGCAGTCTACGAAGCGCGGAGACGTCGGTCTGACGTGTTCACGACTATTGGCGAAAAGTGACGCGTACCAGCGTCACGAAGGAATATCTACTGTCTCCACGGAATGCATGAATTGACGCAGAATTATCTGCACGCTGCTGAGTCTTTCGTAGGATGGCAACTCTGTACCTACGCTGATCGGCCCCGTGAGTCCGAGTGTTTATTTAAAACGTAGTGAAGACCCAAGACGGACAGCACAAGAGAAAGCGAGAGGACACACAGCATGTTCCCCATTCACAGCTAACCTACGTTTAGCCGAGAGAGTCATTTGCATGCCCCTACTTTCCGACTGGCCTTCCCCTATTTTTTCGTACGGTACGAGCAAACTCCATCCTAGATTCTTTACTGTCCCCGATACTCACGAGCGATTCAGCGCGACAGGAATGGTCCTTTCTTCAAAGCTGAAGACAGATACGTCAATTGGTTTTAATTTCTTGAAGTTCACGTTCGCAATTGTTAGCGGGCGCGTTATAATAATGATGAGGTTCATTTACTGAAGGGGTTGGGCTTCATACAGAATTTTATTACGGTTCACAATAAAGAGGCAGAGGTTTCGGAATCCGAAAGTCAAACGATGTTTTAATAATTTATTTTTTATGTTATCAGTCCGCATCGTGTCCATGCGGAAGCGTTTAGTGTCCCGTGAGTGGTGCGTGTTACAAAAAATCTTATCGTTAAAACAATGCGGTTGTAGCCGATATGTCCCTTTCTAACTGATTACAAGTCGATGTTTGAAACTTATATATGATTGAGATGTTGTTGAGTTAATGGTTTCTGGAAACTATTAACTTGTAGTTTAAATGACGAGGCTAGCATCCCTGTAATAGGAAGGGCGCATTGACAGAGGAAACGTAAAATAGACGATGCACAAGCACAAGCTTCCTTTGTTTCTCTACATGCCTTTTAGTGTTATTTTCCCTCAATTCATGAGAGTATTTGTTAAAGCTAATGATAAATTCAATCTTATGGAAACACCTGTGCTGTCAGACAGTTGTGCATCGACGATTCTCGTTTCGGTTTAGCGACTTACAATGCCTACCGTACACGTGCGAATTATGGTGACCAAAATATTCTTCTATTGAAATATCTAGCTGCGAGTCAGCGCTCTGTTCTATCCGGTGTGTCTCTTCCCTTTTTGTTCTTTTGCGCTGTGTATTTGTCAGTATGTATAACTGTCAGAGTAATACCGCCACAGTTACGTTTGGACAAATTTCTCATCAAGGTCTTTGTGGAGATCAGAGCCACTATATAACTTTATTGGATAGAGACGAAAATTCGTTATAAAGGTAAGCTTAGTTATAATTTCACTTAAGTTTGCCTAGTCTAGAATTTGTCTTGATATGTATAAGCGATTTTTCAACGTGTGCGGTGTTTATGTCTGGTTCATTATTTTCGGTTTTGTTTTGCATGGTTTGGAAAGGTCTCTATACCGAACTTTTTGAAGGGTTCGCACACTAGCTTAAACTGAGCAATATGGGTGCAAGGCGGAGTTAAAGTGAGGTTAAAGGCCCGTTCCCACATACAGCGGAGCGCTATAAGCACAGCGCTGACTTCGCAGTAAGCCCGTGCTCACAAGGGCGTTCACCAGCTTTCTGTCGCACCGTCAAAACTGTTGCTTATGGCAGACGATAAGTAGCTGACGGCAGGTGAATAGCGCTGCATGAGTGCTTCGCTGCATGTGAGAACCGGCCTCCAAGGTGACGGTCAATAAAGTAAGTGAACCTTGTTAAGCGATATCATTCCGGTTATTGCATATGTCAGCAATAATCGGTTCCGTTATTGAATTCGAAATGTTCTCCTTGCCTATGGATTTTAACCGGACGACGAGAAACATTGTGCAAAAATAACGTATTTTCGAAGTTGCGACGTAGTACTGGCAAAGATTAGTAAGTTAATTAGGCCGCCTTTGCTGCCACATTCTTCGGTTTAATTTTACGTTGAAGCATTAACAAAGCCATGCTCCTTTGTAGTTCGTTATACTTATCTTTATCTCAGGGCTGCGAAAGTAACATTAACCAGGTTGGCTGTTGTTCATAATCAAGCAACTCAAACTAAACCTTTGGGGTTTTACGTTCCAAACCAACGAAGGACATCTGGTAGGCTCCAGCGGAGGACTGGGGATTAATCTCGACAACCTGGGGATCTTTTAACGTGCAGCCGAAATCACGGTTACACGGCGTCTTTTCCGCCCTAAGCCTCCGTCGGATTGCGGGCACGTCGGCCGGGATTGGAGCCCGCAAAGTGGGGTTCCGTAGGGCAGCGCTTTGCTTCGGAGTTATTAAGGCGGTTGTTCAGAAATTCAGGACGGGAAAAATGAGGGTCTGGAGGGCTCCTGCGTTTTGTGAACAAGTCCCGCTATTTTCTAATGTAATCAATACTGAATATTTTCATCGCGTTTACTTATGCTTAGTTATGCATATCACGTCACAGCACTGGCATGTGTTTTCTTTTGGCTTATGCTAAAGACATCGTTGGACGACATCGGCTTTTATATGCCGTCAGCCGAACCCTATGTAGAATTTCTTAGGCTGCTGCCTCAACTCCCTGCACTATCTTGTTGAAAAGAATTGTTGAAGAAAAAACTTTCTCTCAGCGTCCCAACTTACTCTATTTCTTCGCACAAGTACAACGAAGAAGTAGGTTAAGCTGACTCTAGCCCTACTATTAGAAGATGGTTATTGTCATATTGACAATAGAACAGCCAGATTGTCAGTATTACTCCGTCGGCATAATGCCGGGCGCTTGTAAACTGCATCGCTGTTCTTTTTCCGATCAACATTTGGCTCTTTGTTTTTGCGTCATTCATTTTGCGGTAGACAGCCGTGATTAAATGGAGGGAATTTGCTTTATGTTATTCGCAGGAGGTTATTTCGAACTACAGTACTTACCCGAGAATCACGGGTCCGTTAAAAAAAAAATGACTGTCGTCTCTGTTTCTTAATGTGTTCACTTAAACATGGAAAATAAAATTACTGCGATTTACGAACAAACCATACGCATGACGAGGTACCTGTGGTTTTAGAGAAAACATCCATACTCGTTTGACTACGAGAAGCGCTGTACGGAGTTCTGCAATGTATATGCCACTTTAGGGGGAAGCGTTTTTATCGATGTCTCTGTTATTCGCCAGAACTCTTTTCTCGATGTTTAAGATTTATTTTCTAATGTTCTAGGTGGAAGCAATCGCGCAGGTACCTTGCTTTATAAACCGTATTGACTATGTCCAAGCTATTGCAGTACATATTTCACCACGTGCATATCCACCTGGTTTGACGTGCCCTACCCACCAAAAGAGATGTTTCGAACATCGCGGGAAATCTTTCAAAAATGTTTCGTATACATCCCTTCACCTTCGCAATGTTTGTGATTGTGCCGCGTCTCGTTCATATTCCACGCCTTTGTTATAAGTGCACTTTCACTGACCATTCGCGTACCTTTGTTTCATTCAGGACCCCTGGCTACGGTGTTGCCTGAAGAGCGCGCACTCCGCACTACCCCACGGACAAAATGAACCCTTCAACCTGGGAACAGCATGAGATACAATCGGACCTTCAGGAAGCAAAGTGTCACTGAACTGTTCAGCACAACACGAGCACCTGATCGGAGTGTCCCACCTCTCAGCGATTCTCCCAGCACGTGTTCCCGTGCTGTCCTCCCTTGTTCCCCAAAGACCAAGAGAAGTCGACGTCGGTACGGAGAGGTCAAACCTTGCTCCGTCCTGTTGTCGCGGCTTTCGGACGACGGCATCGCAGAGTTACTTGGCGCATCCTGCTCGAAGGGAAGTTTCACGCTGCGTGACAAAAGGGTTGCCAACGGCCTCGGCACTGATTTGAAGGCCCGCTTGGAATTAAGCACGGAGATCAAAAGAGAAGGTGATGGCCCCGTTAAGAGTCAAGTCAAGGCGCACTGCGACCCGCCCGAAGTCAAGCACTCCAAAGAGATGTCAAACGTAAAAGAGGCGACCACACTCCAGGCTGTTTCAGTGCTGACACAACAGGCAACAGCGAACGCGGAGCCAGACAAAAGCGAGGAGCTGGCAGACATAATTAAGTTTCTTATCGAGACTGATCCAAAGAGAGGCAAAGAGGTGCATATTTCCTTGGCTGCCGAAGAACCCGGCATAAATAAGAGAACTGCTGCAATTGAGCGTCCGAAAGAAGCGCAGGAGCAATTTTCAACTCCCCAGAAGCTTCAAGCGGCCGATTTCGAATATTTCGAATTAGTGCGAGACTGTGTCACAGACTCTGTGCAGCACTTAGCCGATTCGAAAGACGATGTAGTGATCCAACATAGTTCGCGCTGTCGCAAGATACCTGCTGAAGTGAAAGGTGTTATTTCAAGCGCAAACGGAAGCGTAAATTGTTCGAGCGCTGTCGAAGGGCGACCTTCTGTGGTGCCGCAACAGCACTCCGGTGGTAGCGTAATATTGAAAAAATCGGAGTTTGTGCTGCCCGCGCCGAGTATTTACGGCTTCACGTATGAGCCCGAGCTGAACACGCAAAGAGTGTCGGGTTTATCTAGTCCGTACTCCGTCCTCGGGGCTTGTCAGGCGCCGAAAGCCAATTCCCCGCTTCCCCAAACCGAAATACTTTCGGAGTTCGCCGCCATGGGTGTCGTCGATAGTCCCAAAGAAACTAGTCTGTCGGCTGGTGATCCTGCCTCCGACCATAATCGAGCGCCTCTAAACTCAAGCGTAAAGGATGAGGCGGCTTACTCGAGCTCTACTTGTAAAGCAGTGGATCTCGAGGCCAGTGGTGAACGCCCAAAGACTATGGTTCCGGATACCTTGCGGCCGCCTGGTATCTCGGAGGAAACCAGCGATAGCCTCGCGAATTCCGCGAGCGCGCGCTTAGTGATCGAGGATAAGGATGACGCTTGCCCTGATATCGATAAGGTGGCCACTCCGAGCGCCCCGTTTTATCGCGACACGAGGTCACGCCGCGAGGAGGACGATAGTTGTAACGTTGCTCGGCGAAACGACGAAACTTTGGGAGACGACCAACTGCGCACCGCCGCTCGACCCGATGTCGACACGGAACTGGCATCGACTCCGGTGGCTTCTGTGTCTCACAACAAGGCTGGGTCCAGTCTGAAGTGCGCGGGCTCCGGAACCGGCCCTGGGGAAAGGAATACCCTACTGGTACCTGAGGAGGATGCGCCAGAGCCCAAGCAGCCAACCATCAAGACTGAATCGGTGCCCGAGGAAGCTGCCCGGAAAGACAGTGACGTGGAATCCGACGACACGGAGGCCCTGGAATGGGCGCCCTGTACGGTACTGACACCTTGCAATAGCCCCGGCAATAGCAGGGAATCTGGCTTTAAAAATGACAGGGAAGCATCTGACGCTCAGCTACTATCCCAGCCTGTTGTTTGCCAGCACGAGCTGAGTGCCAGTGACTCTAAGGAGGACAGTGGAATCCCCGACGGGAACGTAATGAGCGATGATGGGGAGGGGGATGAAGCGACTCCCACTGCTACTGTTGAAACACGGGGGAAGATTGTGAAGCCGGCCAACCTCATAAGCGTTTTCACTGAGATTCAGGAGGGCAAAATTGTAAGCGTCGACTGCAAGAAATTTCGAAAACGGGACCGACCCGGAGGGTCCATGAGCTCACCTTCGAGGAAGTTTGCATCAGCGAAGGAACAGTTGAATGGTTCAGCGGATCGAAAGGCGGGGGAAGATGTTGACGCAGTCGTTGGCGAAGTTCTTTGTGAGCTCATAGAAAAGACAGTGAAAGGCTCAAGTGGACTACTGGGTGAAAAAATCTCCACCGAAAACCTGAGACATCTCTTTCGAACGTTCTGCGAGAGCAACGGTTACCGTTACCAGGACTTTGTGAGTGACGAAGCGGGGCTCAATTTAAGCACACTTTTTGAACAGCCTTTGGTGGAAATGCAAGATATTGCAATGAAAAAGCGTCGCTGTGGTAGCTCAGATCACGGGTCGTCATCCGATCACGGGCCCGAAATTCCACCTAGGATAACCAGGAAGCGGCGAAAGTGTTCTACTCCCGTTCCCGAGAAGCGAATGCTCACACGCAGCCAGTGGCGAAGGACGTGTAACGTGAAATCTTTCGAAGAGGCCGCCTGCAGGGATGAGACAAAGAATGACGACGAGCCTCGGGACGCTAAGCATGGCCGAGAGTCTGCTGTTCTGAGTCCGGAACTTTTCAGTTCGAACACGGAATCATCGATGGAAGTGTGCAGCGCTAAGCTGTCCCAGGAGCTAGGATCCACGCTTAGCAAGTGCAGCGACTCTACGTCGCCGGCACCCCAGCTCGAATCCTCAAACGTTTCGAGCTCAGCTACTTCCGCCGCTCAGGTTCGTAGCGTCCAATCGCCAGAGCCGCCGAAACTCAGCTGCCTGAAGGCGAGTGTTGCGTCGAGTCCGTGTCAACTCACTCATCCGCGGGAACACGAGTCTGCGATATCCCCAGAAAGGACAGACATGTTTCCCGACCTGGACGTTAGTGACCTGGAGGAAGACCGCCTCGTAATTTGTGACTCTGAGGACATCGAGCAGCTTCCCGCGTCGCCCACCACGTGCCATAGTGACAGTGCCCGTGCTCTTGAATCTCGCGAGCAGTGGTGCGGTGCTGCCAAGTCGCTCGGCCCCATGGATGAAGTAACCAAGCGGGAGACTCCCGCTACAGTGCCCAGAGAGCCGCAGGAGTCTGCGAAGAAGGAGTTGTCGGTGCTGCGAGTCCTGTGTGAATCTGAAGAAGCCGCCGGGAACACGGGTGTCATTTGTCACTCGGCGGCGAGAGCGGATTCAATTGAGACGGCGTCGCAGGGTGACGCAGGTGGCAGTGCCGCTTTCCCGAGGGTACAGAGCGACAGGTAAGAGTATGTTTGCTTCTATATGTCGTGCGTTGCTATTTCTGGCGCATCGTTGCGACTGTTTTAAAGGTGGGTTTTGTATCGCAAGCGCATGTATAGGTTGTCTAAACATTAATTTCCGAGTAGTTTTCCACGCCGCCTCGATTATTCCCTCTTATTTAAACTGGCATCAAATGAAATAATCATACAATTCCTCGTCTTATTGCCGTAAGTTCTTCTTGAATGGCGTTTCGCAACCTTCTACCTCTGGAAGGGTAAGTTGCAGGCATTATGTCTCGTGCGCTTTCTCGAAACTGGCATAAAGGGAAGGATTGCTGGTCGACATATAGACCTGTGTCCGGAATCCTAGCCCCAGAGATAAAAATGAGAAATAATAATCTCAGACGGAGGCTCTTGCGAAGAGAGGGACTGCGCATAAAACAAGATTTTTGCTTTTTACGACGCTCTCGCCATCGGTGGTGTTGGTGGACCTTCGGGACTATGCATTTTTGAGGTTCTTGGACCACGGTATGTCCGAAGGTTTCGAAAAAAAACAAAAAAAAACGGAGTCCTGCGAAAAGCGGAGCCCCTCTACTGTGTCACGGCGTCAGCATAAACAAACATGACGGCGGGCCTGTAATCGAGCAGACACTGGTCTATAATCACCATTCCAAAGGGCCGTATATGTCGGCATTCGACTTAACATTGGAAATTTTAGGCACTTTTCAATATATTTAATTTGGGTTCATTCATCTATCTCTTTATCATGACTTAGGCTACTTCGCATGTGGTGCTGGAAATTGGAATAATTCCTAATTACAGAACAAAAACAAGGCAGTAAACAAAGCGGAGGAAAACAATGTGTGATAAGTATTTAAAGGTACAAGGCCAAATTCAAACTCTCTATTTTCACAATGTTAACAGCAATTCCCAAATTATTGCCACAAACCTGTTACTTCTTAAAACTTAGTGTGTCCTACTTTGTAACTCGGCAAAGGATTATTTATTAGTGTCTTGGATGGAAATGCTTGAAACGTGAACAAGAGAAAAAAATTATTCGTAGAAGTTTAGAGGGTTGCACATTTTTGAGCTCTGTTCCATGCTGAAGCTTAAGTAGCAGTGTTAAAATTTAAAATCCCAAACAGGTGTTGTTATGCCTTGTTCTTTAAAGTAGAGAGTAGCAAATTTGTTTCAGCCCTGGACACTGTTTGGTTACGAATCGTTGACTATTAGAAAGTAGCAGCTTCATATTGATTGCTTTACGTAGTGATGGGTTTGGCATTAATTGTTCATTAGTCTTCTTGTGGTTCGTCCAGGTATGCGAGATTCTTTCCACTCTTTATATCCTTTTGTGAATTCAAAACTCAGAGCCAAGAATCTGAGTGGAAAACCTTTTTATGGAACAATATCAATCGTACGGCCATGCTGAATCCACCTTAGCCAATGTAGCAGTAAAGAGAAACGCCTAGGAAAAGAACGTTCAAGCATGTATAAAGCCCGATCTCTGAATGTGCGAAATGTGCGGTTTCTTCTTTGAAATCTCGACTATTTAATAGGCACATCACACCTTTGAGAAACACGTGGACACGCACATTTATATTTTAAAGTTAGCTAAATCGGCGGGCACAGGAAAAACAAGATAGGCCTCATTCGAATAGCATAGTGAGCAGGCAGGTTAAAATAGATGCGTGCTATATGGTGCATTTCGACTATCCGTCGAACCCCGTCACTTGCGGGCATTATTTTACGAGCATTTTGACGCTTGCAAGATAGTGATAAAGACTCGTACACTATTTTTTTTAATGAGCGGTTCAGATTGATCAGCTCGATTTTACGCGGCCTTCTCTTTCTTCCCAGCACATTACCGGCAACAGTGGCGAACGTCAGCGGCGAGGACGCCAAGGACTTTGGTGCCTCGTCGCGTCCCAAGACCGCAACGGACGACGAGCCGCACGGTCCGGTTCGGGTGAAAGACGAACCTGCGGCTCCTGCTCCCACTAGTCACGGACAAGGCGTTTCTGGTGCCCAGGGTGGCTCGGAGGAACCACTTGATCTATCTGTGAAAGGTGCGTTATTAACCCATTAAATACTATTTTTTTTCTTCATAAAGCATACTACAAAATTAGTGTATAATGGGCAAGTTGCCCATAAATTTGAGGAAACATTCGTTTGGCCTCCAGATATTGTTTGTCGCTCTCACTATTACCTCTTGACAATCTAATGTGACCATTCAGTATAGTTCTTCACTGTGTTGCACAGTTGTAAGGGTAATAAAGGGCACGACTGACACTCTTAATATACCTATTGCTAAATTACCGAAGCATTAAGGAGAATGCTCGGAATGTAGGTGTACGCGCCGCACATGCTCGCCTTCCCCGTATAAAAGGTGCGAAGTAAATAACCGAAATACGGCATTGACGAACGTGCTTGCAAGTTGCCATTCTGATTTTAGGCTTTTGCTTTAGAACACTTGCTGATGCAGACCCCAGCACGTGCGGCGCGCAGACCTACATTCCCTGCATTCTCACTGATGCTTAGGTAATTTATTCATAGGTGTATTCGTAGCCAAGGGGTTAAGTGTTGACGTAATGAGGTTTAAATTTTCCGATTTGGTTGATCTCGCTGATTACCCCTTGCGCTTAAAACTGGGCAGGCTTGCTAGAAACAGCGCCTTAGCTAAGACTGTGTAAATGATAACACTTCCAAAGCTAGCGCACGAGCGAAGTGGCACGTGAAGTCGAGTTTCAAACGCTTATGCGTCCCTGGATTTTCAGGCTTTCTTTTTTTTTTTTCTTCACATTGCTTTAATGTTTATAGCAAGCCGGTCTTGGCCTCCGTCTACTTCCTGTTGCAACTTGTACCATGTATCATGCTAATTTTCACGTAATGTTCTATTATCAGCGGCTTTTAGTTAGTGTCGTCACGATGCGAAGTTAGCAAAGTTGTTTCCCTAACTTAATTGTAATGTTTAAACATGGTTATCGTGCTGTGCTAGCTACGTAAAATTAAGTTATTAAGCCTATTTTTAAATCTCGCTTTATTTTAAATTGTTCAATTTTGTTTGTGTGTGTTTTTTCTTCTTCAGATTCAACATTCCGTCCTCGAGCTGATATACCCGTCGGAAAAGTGCACCCCCAGATGGCGTCTGCTCCCTCTCCCATTGAAACGAACGATTCTCCGATCAATTACTCCTCCAAAAGTGGTGCATCGGAGAGTGACGTCGGCAGTCCAAGGCTCGAGGCCAAGGGTCCCGTCGCGGATGCCAACCACCCCAGCAACAACGGCAGTCAGAGCACAGCTCGCCCAGAAGGGTCAAAAGAAGACACGGGTTCGGACTCCATTCTGCAGCGCTTGCTACTGGACCCAAACCGCAAGCCCAAGGAGCCGGAAACGGAGAGCCCAATGCCAGTCATTCTCGACGTGCGAAGTCTTTATAGAGCGTCCGACTCGCCAAAGGACACAGGAAAACGGTCCCGCGACTCCGATATCGTGACCGAAGCCAAGTCACTTCTATCGGCTCGACTGGCTGCAAAGCAGCAGTCATCTGGTATTCAACTTCCGAAAGGCTCGACAGTCGCGTCGGTGCCTCCGATGAGCTTCCCCGAAAACAAGCTCGGCATGTCGACTTTGGAGAGTAAAATAATGGAGCTGAAGAAGCAAATCCACCATTTGACCATCCTCGCGACCTACAAAGAAAAGGAGCTCGCCTGCATAAGCAGTCTGAGGACGGCTAAAGAGGATGCACTGAAACAGTTGGAGCACAAGTACCCTGAAATCTGTTCTGTCGTGAGAGACTTCGGAAGCGATGGCGCCACATCCGAACCCAGCAACAGTCCTGGCATGACGGATGTTCCCAGCATAGTGACCCAGGCGGCCACGGCCACGAGTCTCTCTGCAGGCGGCCCATCCGATTCTGACCCGCCTCTTCAAAAGAAGCTTGCTGTGCAACCGCCGTTGATTGCCGCACCTAGACTCAGGATCGGCATTCCCGAGCACGAGTCATCGAGGCGCCTCCCGTTACCCTACGAACGGTCACATTCCTCCACGCCGCCTGCATTTTCGCAGCGCGAAGTCAAGCAACCGGCAGCCCCTGTGGTAGCCGCCCCGGCCAAGTCTGCCTTTTGCGTACCTAGTGCGACACTTCAGGGTCATCGCACGCAACGCCTTCTGTTGCCGAAGGCACCCGCGCCACAACACCCCAGCAGCACCGCTGTCAGCACCTCACCACGATTAAATACGTCGGCGTTGACACCGTCTTCAGCGTCGATGGCAACTTGGTGGAACGGTTCGAGCGGAGCCATTTCCCCAGCTGAACAGCCGTCGAGCTTATCACATCAGCTGCGAAGAGACAACCTACGGGAGTACCCGTCCCCTTCTTTACCAGAGTACCAGTCAGCCGCTACGTTGACTCCTGCTATGAAGACGCAGCACCAGGGCGGCGCACCACAGCGGCAATCATCTGGGGACACGTCGGCAAAGCCAAGTCAGCGCCGGTCGCGCGAATCATCTTTATCTATTAGTGAAGGGTCAAGAGAGGTTGCCTCTGCGGTCTCAAGACATTCAGAAGACTTTGGCCTCTCTATGGGCCCATCCGGCGCTGCGTCTGGCCAGAGCTCGACCGCGTACGCGTTGAACCGGGCGAACATCGCTGCGACGAACATATACAACCAGGCGATGGCGTATAGCTTGTACCAGCAGCTCAGGCTCAACAAAGAGGCATCGTCCGTTGCCCAGGCAGAAGCATCGGCGAGCTCGGCAAGCCTTCTAGAAAAGATGAAGCAGGGTCTTCCTCCTAGTCAACAGCAGATGTACCAGAAGTCACTGGGATCGTTGCTGGATCAAGCCAAGGGTCGTCCCACAGCCTGGGAGCACCTCAATCTTCTACTTCAGAAAGAGTCCATGGTAAGTGCCTCGAATTGAACACACTCGGTGAACTTGTGAACCGCCGATAAAGCTTGGAATGGCGGACTAATGGTTAAGAAATGGCCAAGATGGAGAATGTGTACGCTTTATGAGTCATTTCAATAACCATTCGTCCTCTTTAGCTGGAAGACGAATTAAGCGGTATAATTGCGACATTTTATGTTTTATTTTATATTTTGTTTTCATGCAGAATAACGAAAGCAAGAATGGAAAGACGGGGAATCCCAAGCAGATCATTTTCAGGAGTATCCTATGCAGCGTGCGATAAAAAGTACCACGAAACCAGATGCGTTTCGTGATTTAAATGAACGTATGCAGACTCGAAGGATTATCTCACTTCAATAGATAAAGCTACAAAGCGATGACTGCTATATAAGAATCACGTTTTTCCTTTTGTATATTTCATTCGACCCCTTCGCGATGGGATGGCGTTTTGTTTCACTAATCAGGTCTCGATCGAAGCGTTCCGATTTGAACGGAGCCTTAATTACAAATTCTTTGGTGGCTGTTTACCGCAGTGATAAGCCTCGGACGTCCCGCTTTCTTCGTATGTCCTGTTAAAGCATTTTTAAGCTCCCTAATTAAAGCTTATTTTCTGGTTTCTTTAGTGTATACACCATATAATAAGGTGGTAAACTCGGCCTTTTGGTTCACGTTATACCTGATGGGGAAAACAGCCCAGAAAGCGCTGACTACGAAAAAGAACAAACATGACAGGACAGTTGATAGTACGGCATTGTCCTGTCATGTTTGTTTTCTTGAGTGGTCCGCGTTTTTTTAAACTGTTTTCCCCATCATATATAGACTGTATCAATGAACGATATGTGTATATTCATTTGGGTTGTCGGTGTCCAGGATTAGGGATTGGAATAAATTGATTAAAATTGTCCCTTGTTGTTTTATCCTTGGCTCCTTTATATTGAGCGCCACATCGATCAAGCACCTGACGAGCGACTGGTCCAAGCAATATTTATAGAACGGGCTGGGTTAGGTCCATATTTGACACTCATGAGTGGCATTTTACCTAGTCGCTTCTTGTCATTTTGTTTTCATTGTGGCCATCTCGTACGGCTTCTTTCGCAAAACATTCATGAAAGTGTAATTGAATTAGCAGGGCAGTGCGAGGGCGTAAATTAAGAGTAGATTTTCACCGGTTGTTTGGGCAATAAAAAATATTCGGGATTGAAGATTTTTTTTTTCAATTGGTATCCGGCATAAATTAGGACGAATTCTAATACATCATCTAAGAAATGCAACGCTGGAGACGTCAGTTGTGCTGCTGGTTACATTCTTTGTCACGAGACCCATCGCCGAAATAAGAGCATCCAATGTTAGCGTGAATCTTTTGTTTCTGCGGTGAACCAAAATAAAAAAATGAAACAATAATCCTCAAAAACTTTGTCTTATTCTTTTGTAATCGGGAACCCGGTTACAAACTCCCACTTAAAACGTGTGGTGCGGCGCCATAAGCGAATCGCACGTTTCGCCCATCGGGGTTCAACGGCCGATGGTCAAGTGTTCTCATTGCGACGCAGGATGTCCCAGCCGCCGAGTTACCTTGGGCCCAGAGTGGACTGGCTTGCATCAACTGCGGCGATCCGCGCGTGAAGTACGTCTGCAGCTGCTGCCGGACACAGACGTTCTGCAGCGAGCAATGTCAGGTGGGAGCCTTTCTCGGACAAGTTCGTTTCACCACTTTATCTTCAGAGGGAAAGCGTAGCAACGGAATCTCTCGAAGCATGGCAGCCTTCCGCCAATATGAGTTGTCTCCGTGACTTCAAAAATGGTTAAAAAATGTTAAAGAAAGGAAACAAAACGACGCTTGCGTCAAATACTTTGTTTTTCTTTCTTGTTCGTGCCACAATTCTGTAATCACTTTTTTGTAAATAATTTTGCTTATTGTGTTTTATGTGTTACAGCATAACTCTGCCAGGTACACTATCAATGACAGTCAAACTTCGGGAACATATGCCACGTGTGCCTACTTTTGGTGTATATCCGCACTACATAATATGGTTTTCGTTTAAGCTTAAAAGCTTCTTTTTTTTAACTTGTGAAAGCTGCACTTGTGCTGTTTTCAAATGTAGGACGGTGTTGTGTCGTCCCCTTTTTCGTCCGTAGTCTCCAGGATTTCTTTTTTTTTTTACTGTGTTCTGCGGGATGCTGGGTGAACCCACCGACTCCCTCTTTTGTTCGGATGTTTGCCAAAGGCATTTAGTTTATGAATGCCAAACAAAGCGTGTTCGCTTTGTTTGGCATGGCCTATGGTCGTCGCCATAGTCGCTCCCAACTAAACAACTGAAACGTAGAAACAGTTTTGCGGTTCTGGAGATTTATTGATTTGTCTCTTTTGATCCTTATGCACGTTTTTAACTTTAAAAAAAAAAGAAAAAAAAATGTGTATTACGACATGTGTGCACTGTTCGCCTTTTTTTCTCTTTTTGTTTTCTTGTAACACACAAATTTTACGAGTAATAGTTCGCGTAGCTAAGGCAATACACACGAGCAAGCAGGAAAGCTATCATTTGATGACGTGATCTAGCTTGTTTATCCTTCATTATCGAAGATTACACTTTGTCGCGTGTCGTCATCCTTTATAGATTGCTGGCTTCCGTGCGAATCGTTGCACCAACTCTGTGACGAAGATGTTAAGTGTGCCAAAGATAACTTCCGCTTTTATTTCGTTTTGATTTGCAGATAAAGCTGTGGACCAAACAGAAGACCCAGACATCCACGAAACATTGAAAAGGAGTGGCTCAGAAAGCTTCGCCTTTTGCTCCTCGTCGCGAGTGTGTATTCGTGTGTGTGTGTGTTCGCGCGCTCGCGCGGTTATTATATCAGCGGGACTGTGCAAGGCGTGTTTGTTGATATGTGTGTGCGTGCTCGCGTGTTCACTAAACTTTCATTCTTCATTTCACGCCCAAGTGTGCGTTTTGTACAATGCGCATTTCCCTCTGATTTATCTAATAAAGTTAGTTTCTGTTCAAGATCAGAGACTGCAGTGTGTTTTAGGGTGAAGCTCCTTAGGGTCTAGCCATGTCCGTATGTCCGTCCGCCGTCCGGCGTGCCCCTGCTCGTGAGCTCACGAGCTGGAGCTCACGAGCTCCTGCTCGTGAGTTCAGCAGCGAGAGCAAAAAAAAAATATGAAAAAAACGTCCGGCGTGCCCCTGCTCGTGAGCTCACGAGCAGGAGCTCACGAGCTCCTGCTCGTGAGTTCAGCAGTGAGAGTAAAAAAAAAAAATAAAAAAAAAATAAGAAAAAAAAATATAGGGGGCTCTGAGATGCCATCCCATCTGTCTTCTAAGAAAAAGAAGAAAACCACACATTCTCCTACTGACATGAATGAAAACGGCACTACACTTTAACGGCACCATCAGCACTACCTAGAGCCACTAAATGAGCTGCGCTTAGAGTATCGGCACTCCGTTCCCCGACATTGTTGTGGGCGCCGCCATTTTGGCTCGTATGCAGAGCAGACACAACTGCCGATCGTCCTGATTCATAAGGGAGGCTTCCTCAGCATTAGATTTGGTGTTAGGAAGGTCATCTAAGATTGCTTTGCTCTGTCGCGAACTGTTTAAACATTTGTAGAGGGCGGAGAAGCGTTTCCTGTGATTTCAGATAAAGCTTCAGATAACTGGCAACCATGATTTTAAGACACAATATGGCGAAGTGTCGTTACTCTGAAGCGTAGCTTATTTAGTGGCACTAGCACTACCTATGACCAAAATCAGTATCAAGAGAAAGGAGAAAAAAAAAAGAGGGGGTTCTGAGTTGCCATCCTATCTGTCTTCTTAAAAAAAAGAAAATCACATGTTCTCCTACTGACATGAATGAAAACCGCACCATCAGCACTACCTATGACCAAAATCAGTATCATCAGCACCACCCGAGCTTCGCCCCAGTCAACATCATTCACCACGTGGAGATGCGGTAATTTTTTTTTTTCTGCTTTTATATATGCGTGTGGTACAATGGTGTGTATTTTTGCATAGTGACTGGCAGGGCGAGAACATGAGGGTGGTCCTCCTTCATGCGTGCTGCCTCTAGTGCGAGCTGCCGTTCTCATTTTTTCGGCGACTGCTAGTGCCCTTTCGGAAAATTGCCAAGTATCCTTACTTTTGCGCGTAAGGTGCCCGAAGGTGTAACAGATCCGTGTGTTTACCACGTCTTCGTATTGGTCCCTTGACTTTCCCGCCTGTGATGTTTCAGCTGTGCACACATTTGCACATACTTGGGAAACGTAGTTAAATGAAGTTACCGTTTATCTGTATCTAAAGTAAATAGAGTAGCGTAGAAATTACATAAGTGCACTTTTAATTCTACGGTGGTTTCTATTAAGACGACGAACTACCGTAAAAAGCTGGTTGTTTCAGAAATTACTTGTTATGTATAATTTTGTTTTTATGGTAGCAAGATTGGCCTGAAGTTTTGATGCGTAAACGAAATACCCTTTGGCCAATAAAAATTCCGTCATTTTCCTGCTGGTGTGCGTACCAAAATGCTGTATTATCTCGAGTAAGCAATTGACCTAGATAGGCCTTGTCTGACAGTATGCCATATTTCTCCCGAGGGCTAAAAGGCGTTCTACCGAAGCACTGAATAGGGCAGCCACCTTTTAGTTGGAGACGAACTTTGTAGGGTCCTTATTAATAGGCGCATATCGCGAATGCACCGTTTCCGCTATCAGGTTTCGCCCTGTCTAATCTTTCTTTTTCAGACGCTGTGTTAGCTTCCTTAGTTGTTGGCTGTTTTCAGACATGTACACGTTACCAACAAAAAATGTAACTAAATACCCCTACTCATTACTCGCTCAAAAAATAGCTAAATCCGTTACTCGCTACCGATTTTCAAAAGGAACGCGTGACTTTACCTCAAAACTAGCAAATTACCTTTCACGCCACTTTGACAACCAAATATACCACTGTTTTTGTTTCATGGTCTATTGTTTTCTTTTTGGTAGTCGTTGCACTTAACCAGTAGCTGTTTCTCGAAGTTCTCATCAGTTGTGTTTCCCCGCTTCCTTGAGAATCCATCTCCGGCGACGCTGAAGAGCCTTCCTACCGACGCGCTCGAAGGAACGGCAGTGTTGTGCTTCAGGATGAGCTGGTGAACCTTCGGGAACTGCGCCTTCATTGAGTACAGCGGGTAGTGGATTGCGTGCCTTCCCGCGTTGGCGACCTCCGGGCTTACATTCGGTCCCTACTCGGTTCTAGAAGGTTCAACCAACGAACCTCACTGTGTTCGCTGGGTGAAGGACATTCCCAGCTGTAGAGTTGAGTACAGCGACGTTTATCGCTGGACACGTCAGTCGAACTGTTCGACTGACGTGTTCAGCAATATACCTTGCTGTACTGTCATACTATTGAGTTGTTTTTCGGGTTGCCTACCTACCGTTCTCGCTATAGACACATACTCAGGTTTGAATAAAAAAAAGGCGGTGTTGTGCACGTTCCTCCTCAGAAGTAACGAAATACCGTTACTCGTTACGTGGCCTTAAAAAGTAACTAAAAAAATGAAAGCCGTTTACAACTCCCTGTAACGCCGAATTAGAGCGCAGCTCTTGAGGAGGAGGAGGGAAGGGTACTGGGGGGTGGGTCAAGTGACCTCGGGGGGCGGGGGGGTCACGTGACCTTGGGGGTCACGTGACCTTGTGGGAGTCACGTGACCTTGGGGCGTCACGTGACGTCGGGGGGTCACGTGACCTGGGGCCACGTGACGATACCGATGACGTCATCAGTAGCGTCACTGATGACGCCATCAGTGATGATGATGACGATGCGGATGCCGGTGACGTCATCAGTGACGTCACTAATGACGTCATCAGTGATGATGACGATGACGATGCGGATGCCGGTGACGTCATCAGTGACGTCACTGACGACGTCATCAGTGCCTATGACGTCAACGGGGGGCCACGTGACCTCGGGGGGTATCCCCAGGTCACTTGACCCCAGGGGGGGTCACGACCTGGGTAACCATCGTGACCCTCGTGAGGGTAACCCTAGTAACCCTTGTGAGGGCAACTCTCGTGACCCTCGTGAGGGTAACTCTCGTGACCCTCGTAAGGGTAACTCTCATAACCCTCGTGACCCTCGTGAGGGTTACGAGGGTGAGTAACCCTCGTGAGGGTAACTCTCATAACCCTCGTGACCCTCGTGAGGGTAACCCTCGTGAAGGTTACCCTCACGAGGGTTACTAACCCTCGTAACCCTCAAAAGGGTTACCTTCACGAGGGTTACCCTCACGAGGGTTACTAACCCTCGTGAGGGTTACAAGGGTAAGTAGCCCTCGTGAGGGTAACCCTCGTGAAGGTAACCCTTTTGAGGGTAACTAACCCTCGTAACCCTCGTGAGGGTTACGAGGGTAAGTAACCCTCGTGGCCCTCGTGATCCTCGTGAGGGTAACCCTCATGAGATTAACCCTCGTAACCCTCGTAACCCTCACGAGGGTTACGAGGGTTACGGTTACGCCGACGCCGACGGCGACGGCGACGCCGACGCCGACGGCGACGCCGCTCAAGCCGGGAACGGGCCCCTAAGAGCTGCGCTCTAATACGTTACTCGTTACCGAAAGTAGTAACTAGATAGAAGAAACTCGTTTCGTACATGTCTGTTTGTTTTACGGTAGAACGTATGGGGTATTTCTAAGGTTTCTCGAACGGTCTCTCGGACGACCTCAGAAGCCTGGAGGATTCGAATGCCCTGTATTCTGAAAGGAGAAAGCCGCTTTAAACGAGACCACCTGGCTCTTCTACCGGGCGACCGGCTTGTTTCCTCTCGTTTCTCTCCTTTCCCCGTCACCGCCCAATCATTACGAACACTGCTTCTCGAGAACGAGTCCTCGTCTTTTCTGGCGTTTTTCCTATAGAAAAACGAACAAACAAACAACGAAATCTCAAATGCTACCGCAAATGAAAACCGAGACGAAACTAGGCTGTACTACGAGGAGAGATGTAAAAAGCGCGGCCTTTTCCCGTAGGGCGGTGTGGCCCTTTGCGCGTTAATGCCACCTGGGGTAAATTTTGCGCTGTACTTGGGGGCGCCGGTCGAGTTGCTCCGTGGTAGGGTGTGCTAGAACAACTTACCCTTCTTGGACCCTTCTAGAACACCTTATCCGTGGCTCCTGACGGTCGCTTAGGTGTTTACTCGGCTTTCTCGTGGTGGTATTCCACGCCTTTCACGAAAAAGAAGAAAACGCAACGCTTGTTTTTCGTCAGTTTCGTGCCGCGGTGCGATGGAGGAGACAAGTCGTGTGGGGATAAGCTATCCTTTCCTTGAGCACTGAAAAACCCTGACGCGTTTCAGAAGTGGGCCCGCGCGATCCCTATACACGAACTCATCTCTGTGACGTCACGGCGCGGTGGTGGCCCGTCGGTCGCACTTCCGGTCTGGGGCTGTGGGCAGAAGTCCCCATGCCGGACGTGTATTCCTGCGTTGTTTTGAAAGGAACCAGACAAAAACCTGTCTTCTCGCCAAAACGCCGCGACTGGGGCCGTACCAAAAGTGTCGAGAAAGCTTTGAAGGTCAGTTTTCACGCGCTCGGTTCGTCCGAGAATCTGGATATGTGCCGTGAAAAGGGGAAAAGCAGACGCCGTCGGACAACGACTGCTTGCTCGGGAAGCACTTTGGGTTGAATTCACGGATACTTGTGGTGATCAGATTTATTTGTGTTGCCCCAACATGAACGCCAGAAACCGTAAAGTTGTGCGGACCACCTGCGAACTACGTTTAGTGCGTCTTCAAGTTCAAACGGCCGCCTGATCGTTCGAACTGTCGTCTGCTCTTTCAAACGATTCTGCTTGTCGTCTGCTCTCTTAGACGACGCCGGCTCGTAGACCAAATTTTGGCCCGCTATTTGCGATAAGAAGTAAGTGCAGGCCTCAAAAGACTTAAATTTGAAGGTTGGTAAGCAGGCTCGATGTAAACAGTAGATACAAGGAGATGTTAATCATTGTTACCCGTGACCATCACCGACTTGTTACGCCTA